AGGGAGGGCAGGGGAATGGGGAAAAAATAAGAACCAAGAGAGATTATGTAAAGGTCCAAATTTCCCAATGATGAATGTCATTATATTGTATACCTAAAATATACCAATAAAATTCATTTAAAAAAATTAAAGTTAAAAGAGGAAAGTGTTAAGACTGGATGATTTTTAAGCAGTTTCATAACTAATCATATTTAATACTTTGTTTAATAGTAGGGGGAAAAAAACTTTGGTTTAACTCCAGAAGAGAGATGCTGAACATGTGGCCTTCTGAATTATAGGTGGTGAGCTGGCATTGTCTGTCTTCTTGGTACTCCTATTCCTGTGGCTTCACAGCTGGCGGAGACTCTTCGAGTGCTTCTATGTCAGCGTCTTCTCCAATGCCGTGATCCATGTTGTGCAGTATTGTTTTGGCCTTGTCTATTATGTCCTCGTCGGCCTGACTGTGATCAGCGAAGTGCCAATGGATGGCAGGAATGGTGAGTGGCCCCTGCCTCGGCGCTGGCTCTGCGAGCACAGGCTGTATGAGGCCGTGGCTCCACACAGCACTCAGGAGTCCAGAATTAGGAGTTGTCCCAACCTACTTTGCATTCAAGCTTCTTAGACTCCAGTAGTCAATGTAAAATGTCAACATGCCCAACATATATGTATATCAACTGTAATTGCTAAAGCCTTAAAGAAGCCAACATAAGCAGTCATGCCTTCTGTGAAGACAGTAATGTGTACAATGTTCACAAGGCTCAACTTAAGGATGACAAAATGGGGTGTGGGGTTCCCTGGAGGGCCTGAAGCTAGCAGAGCCACGTGGGGCTAGTCTGTGGCAAGGGAGGGAGTGTGGCCAAGTGCAGAACAGGAAGCAGGGGAGTGGCCGAGAGCAGGAGAAAGGGGCAGCAAAGGAAGTGGCCTTGGGGAGCCTCAGCCTCCTGGGGTGCCTGGCGGAGGTGGGGAAGTTATAGTGCAGGGTAAATCCTGGAAGAGGAGAGCAGAGGTGCTCCTGGTGAGTAGTCCTGATTGGAAGAGAGAGTGGGAACCGTTTCATTGCCATTTGCTCTTGTGATTGCTCCCCTTATACCAAAGCTGTGCCTCATGCAGGGAAGAGGACTTAATGTTTCAAAGGTCTCTGTAGCCAGGAAGAGGGAAGCCAAACTTCTGTTTCTGAGAAAGAAAAGAAGTGGTTTATTGCTTTATTTAGGGGCTGCGGGGGTCTACCTAAGTGAATGTCATTTTTGTAAAAACAGTGTATATGTATTATAAAGAATTCAAATCATTTTGGGTGATTGGGTTTTTAGGGCAGAGGTTAACTTGACCTTGGCATTCTTAAGCCTAGGCACTATAGATCTTTCCTGACCATTTTCTGTGAGCCCTAGGCTTCATCTTTCCTAATGTTGCCCCATTAGTCCTTGTAAATTGAGATCAATCAAGATCTAGATATTCCCAACACTCACTGAGTGAGCCTCCCTCCCCCTCAGGTCTCATTCTGGCATGAGAAATCAGTGCTCCTTAAGGTCCTTTCTCTATTGAATACAGCCTCTTTGGTTAGAGGAAAGTTGTAGGTTTTGGTTTGGGATTTTTTTTTTGGTGGGGTTGCTAGAACCTGAACCCAGGGTCTCGAACATACTAGGTAAACTCTACCACTGAGCTACAAACCCAGTCTCTAGAGGAAAGATTTTTTTTTTTTTGGTACCGGGGATCGAACTCAGAACCTTGCACTTGCCAGGCAGGTGGCGGAACCACTGAGCCAAATCTCCGGCCCTCTAGAGAAAAGATTTTATAATAGGGATTATTGCTCAATTCATGAATTACTTGTTGGCCACAGCCACTCAGCCAGCATCTCTCCATCTAATTCCTCTGCACTTACTCAAGTTAGTTTTTCCTCCCTGGGTTTTCAGCTGTGGCATTCACGCATTCTACCAATACCAAGGCATGAGCTGTCATTCCTGGTTTCTTACCCAAGGAACTTTCTAGAGTTCTTTGGTAACCTACTAGCTTTCAGTCTGTCAGCTTCTGTTGACACTGCATATCCTTCCTTCCCTCATAAAAAAGTCAAGGAGAGGCAGCCAAAGTGCCCACACAAAGCACTTTCTAAATACTTTTCTGAATCTGTTTTCTTTTTTATGTCAGAAGGTCATCTGGATGGGCTGGGGATTTAGCTCAGTGGTTCCAGTGCCTGCCTCAAAACTGTGAGGTCCCGAGTTCAATCCCTGGTACCAAAATAAACAAAGGGTCATATGGGGTCATTTGGGATGATTTAGGGAGAGCTATTTTCAGTAATTCTTTGAGAGAAGACTCATTGGGCGATTTGCCAGCTGCAGAGTCTAATAGAAATACCATGGGCTTGGGGATCCATAGGGCCTGCGTCTGCCTTACTGAATCTCTCTGACCTCAGAATTTCCTTCCATAAACAGGAGCACAGACTTATTTCTCAGGGTCCATATGAAAGTGAAAAGGTCTGTAAACCAGAACAAAGCTTCTTAAGATCTAGGATGTTGCCTAGCTTGCTGCTTTATTCTTTGTCCCTACAGCAGAGCTGGGCTTAGCAGACACCCAGTAATTAGTGAATAAATGTATGCTTATGCACCTTCCCTTCTCTTCCCTGCATTGTAATTCTGGCCTTAGTCTTACAAATTCTTGTTTCCTCATAGGTGATGCCTCTGCATATAGAGTAGAGGACATGGTAGTTAGTGATGTGAACTCCTAGGTGCTCACTTTAACTTTCAGTCCTATAGTTACTTGCTTTTGAAGCCTATCAGATTTGAAACTATATTTTTCATATTTTGCTTATTTTTAACTTATAAAAATATAACTTTTTAGTGAACACTAAAAAGATGACAGCAGAAATTGACACAGGTGGGCTCTCACTAGTAATTAGCTATCCTCACTGACTCTCACCTGTAAAAGTTCCTAGGAAACAAGACGATCCTTGGTTCTCCTGCTTGAATTTACCTTTCGGGGGTTCCTTCTTGGTTCCAGAATCCCAGACTCTTCTGTATTATCCATGTACAATTTTGTCTCCTCAGTGAAGATGGACTAGGCCAGCTGTATCCTGCTGGTCATAGGGAGGCCTTCTGTGGCTTTTCTGATGCCAGTGGCATGCTCTTCATGTCCTCCTGTGGGCTGCTGCCTTCTTTCCTTCCTGGTAGCCAGAGGAGAAGGAAAAAGGTAATACAGGAAATGCTATGCCAGACGAGGATCTCTCTAATCCAGAAAGAGAAACCATTGTTCATCTTGTGGTTTGTGTTTCTGTTCTTTGTAATAAGTCTTTGTAATAAGTCCTTCTCTCTGACTTTACCTGTGAGGACTTTCTTCACTGGCCAGCACCAGACAACTCTGCATTCTGCATCCAGGATCTCCTTACCTGGGCTAAGGATGATAGCTCAGAGAGAGATTTCTTTAGAAAGTGTTCTCCTGACAGTTAAACGTAAGGAGACTTAAAATGGGACTTAGCAGTGGAAACACAAGGGAGTCTCATCACACACAAGAGCAGATCACACAAAATGGAGCTGAACATTTGAAGGAGATGGTGCCTAAAGTATTTGAAGGAGGAACAAGAGGATATCAACATGAACTTCTCTGCTGCCAGTTACTGAAGCTGTGCCTGTCTGAGGAACATACCTCCCTAGTCTAGTGGAAATTTATCTTAGTTACTTTTCTCAATGCTAAGACAATATACTTGACACCGAGAGTTAAAGGAGGAAAGGTTTTTTTCAGCTCACAGTTCTTAGAGGTTTCACTCCATAATCAGCTGGCTCCAAGGCAGGGTGGCATAGCAGACAGGCATTGCAGAAGAGAAACAGTCCGTGGCAGCCATAAGATAGCAAAGCAAGTGAGGGATAAGACAAGCCTCTTTCTGTCCCTTATATTGTACCCAGGCTACTGATATTGGGGTGATACTAAACCAATCAGTGAACTGATTTAGTATCACTCACCCTTAATCCTAGCATTGCACCATGAATCAATCACACATTCTAGATCCAGTCACCTCTGAAAAAGCCCCACCTGTGACTACATAAGGCTTTTTTTGGTGGGGAGGGGGAGGGGGACATCTAGATACAAACCATAACAAAATTACACCAGAGTAGTATGATTTTTTTAAATTCCCCAAGCCTCTGAAATTTTGCAGAGCTGGCTAATAAGATAATTCTTATTTCCATAGTGTATATAGTAGGGAAAAATCCATTAATGCAAGCACGGTGGTTCCACATCCTTGGGATGATGATGTTTATCTGGTCATCTGTCCACCAGTATAAGTGCCACGTCATTCTCGGCAAGCTCAGGAGAAACAAAGCAGGTGAGATCTCTTTTATAACCTCGGCATGCAGTCGGTAAACCTCAGAAGTTAGTTCTCTGTGTTCCTTTATTCTTTCCTTCCTCCCCTAGTTAACTAATCTCTGTCAGATACTCATTTTTGACAAGACACCTCTCTGCAGCTAGATCTTCCCATCTATAAAATAAGCCATTCTCTGACAATCTCTCTGGCCCTACCAGCCCTGACAGCTGTGAGTCTGTACTGTGCCCACATTTGGGGACTGCACAGCACAGGTGTATTGATCCACATATGAGAGCTCATATTACTGGAGAGTTAGTATCATGCCAGCCAAGCAAAACCAGCTTGACCTTCTAGTTAGCTTATATTGACTTATCACAGGTAGTTTCCACTCAGCTATTTGAAATACTAAAAATGGAAATGTATTATTTAATATTTATCCAGTGCCTGTTGTGTGAAGCCCTGTTGTAAATGCTACCACTTCACAATTCCCACATGAGATGAGTATAGTCTAATCATCATTTTACAGATGGGGAAAATGAGGTAGTTACCTGAAGTTACATGGCTAGTAAGCAGGAGAGCCAACGTTTGACCTCAGGTGGCCTAACTCCACAGTCTGAGCTCTTAGCGGCTGGTGTGGAAGGTTGCTGGAAGAACTGGCTGTCCTTTTTGCTCCTGAACAGTGACAATGTAACCTCAGCACGTGACTTTCTGATACATAGTAGATTGTCAGTGGAAGTGTGACAGGATGGTGGTTTGCACACAGGTGTGTGAAACTCTTCTTTAAATAAGCAAAATGATTTAGGGGGTAAAGTAAAACTTTCAAGACTTCACATGCTCACAAAGCCATCTTTTATCATTTCAGGAGTGGTTATTCACTGCAACCACAGGATCCCTTTTGGAGACTGGTTTGAATATGTTTCTTCCCCTAATTACTTAGCAGAGCTAATGATCTACATTTCCATGGCTGTCACCTTTGGGCTCCACAACTTAACTTGGTGGCTAGTGGTGACATACGTCTTCTTCAGCCAGGCCCTTTCTGCTTTCCTCAGCCACAAATTCTACCAAAGCAAATTTGTCTCCTATCCAAAGCATAGGAAAGCTTTCCTCCCTTTTTTGTTTTAAGATAACCTCAGTCATAAAGAATGCCAGCTAGATGACAGTGTGAAGTCAGAGACCAGAGTGCAATTTCTACAGGGCTGGTTGAAATTCTGTGTCCTACTTTTACATCAAAAAGAATTCATCAATTAAGCAAAGCAATGCCCCCCAAGAAGATGACCCTTCAGAATGTCTTCAAAGAAGAAATGCTTCTGGCAGACCTGCGGTTGCCTGTCTGCTTTCTGCAATGCCTTATAAAGCCAACCAAGTGACCAAAAGTAGACAAGACTTCTCCAGGCTACCTCACAAGCACACTAACCAAGAGTACAAACATCATCTCCCACATACATACACCACAGAACAGACAAGATCAACTGGGATTGCTTGTTAGGGAGCAATGAACTGGACTAGATAATGAGGGATCTAGTAGGTGCTTCATAAATATTCATTACATTTCCATAAAATCAAATTAGCCTTCAAAAGTAACATTAATTTGTAACTTTACACCAGTGGTATCAGGGAAAACTGAGGGTTTTTTGGAGTTAGTTTATACTTTCCCATATTACCACAAAGATTTCCAGTAATGTAACAATTAAAAGCCATTTCATCTTCCCCACAAGTCATTGTCTAATGGGACATTTTGAAACTTCTTTAATTTTCTGTTGACATTCCTTTCAAGAAAGTACTTCAAAAGTGAAAGCTTCACAAAATAAAATATTTTTATACTTATGCATAAAAAGCCTTTTTTTGGTAAAAAGCCTTTTTTAATGATCTGGATCAGTAGTGAAGCCTCATTCATCAGTAATCATTCAAACTGAAGGAATGTCTGTCTGAGTGCATTTCACCTAGCAGAATGAAACTGAGGATAAAGAACTAAGAATTAAGTTTACACTTAAAATAGCTTAGTTAAGGGCCGGGGATTTAGCTCAGTGGTTTCACTGCCTGCTGCGCAAGCGCAAGGACCCGAGTTGGATCTCCAGTACCAAAAACAAAAAATAGCTTAGTTAAGGAACATATCCATGAGTACATCAAAGGGAAATAAATGCACAGTATGAAAGAAACTAAAACTTGAAAAATAACACTAAGCCTGAGCAACAGTAAAACCTGCACATACAGCATATGATTTTCTGCCCTACTAGCTGAGGTATTACTCCTTTTATGCAGATGTCATATTATACCCTACTAAGTACTAAAGTTTTGCATTACCTTGCTATGGGCAAAAGAACCTCATTATTAACCAAACATGTCAAATGCAGTCTGAAGAATGTGTTCCCCCACTTCCATCCCTGGAGTTGAAAGTGAGGCTGCTGAATGGAAATTTGCGGGAGGGTTCAGACCTGGGGATGGAATCCAGGGTCTTGTACATGCTAGGCAAGTACTCTACCACTGAGCTACACCCTTAGCCCTTTGAATCTAACTTTTAAATGCATGCATATCACAACATATCCTGAAGTTCTTACATTAATTCTAATGTAGCATTGTTTCCCATCAATTAAATACAACTCAATTAAGAGTACTCCATTGCTTGGTCTGGTCAAATAAAAAAACATAACTCATTGTATTTATTTATCATCCTCAGGACCAGAACTCAGGAACAAAACTATTTCTACATTGAAAGTGTAAAGCATTTTTCAATTTGGTGTTAATTTTCACACAAATAGAATGCATGATTTTAAGTAAATTGTTTAGGAGAAAACTACTTTGCTTCACCATGTGACTTTAAATCTTGGTTAGACTAAGTACTTGGCTAATGTTCTGGATCTTATATTTTGAAGTAAAAGAATGACTGTCCCTGTTGTAGTTTTGATTTAAAAAATGTTCCCCAAAAGGCTCATGTGTTTAGAGGTGAGGTTTTGAAAAAGTGATTAGATCATGGGGCAACTAATCTCATCAGTGGATTAATCCATTCAGAGCTGAAAGTACTGTTAGGTGGTGGGGCCTGGTTGGAGCACACAGGTCACTGGGGGAGTTACTTGGAAGGGTATATTCTTATCTAGACCTATTCCCCTCTGACTAGCTTTTTCACCCTCTGTATGCTTACTGGTGGCCATGAAATGATCAGCTTTCTTCTTCCGTGCCATTCTGCCATGTTTCTGCCTTAAAGCCAACTGACCATAGACTGAAACTGTGAGCCAAAATAAACATTTTCCTCTAAGTGTTGTATGTCATGCATTTTGTCACAGCAATGGAAAGGTAACATACAGTCCCCCCCACAAAGGACCCTATGGAGCTATGAGAGCTTTCCAGTTTCCCTTTTCTAGTCCTTACTGTTCCTTGCACATTAACCCCGGTCTCTTCCCCAAACATTGCATTTCTAGGTGAAAATAAAAGAAAGTGAAGTCTTCAGAGAAAAGTTAAGAATGAAACTCCATGGTCTTGCCTGAAAGCTTAATTGGTAGAGCATAACTGGGGACTGTGCTGTGCTTCTTGGAAAGCAGCACCAGGACTGTTCTGTGCTCATGAAAATATTCCCTGTGCCTAAAGGGAAAGTACCATAGAGATTTGCAAATTTTTCACAAAGATGATCCAGAAATAGCTTAGAAGTAGAGATTCCTGACTTTCCTGTTGGCACTGTGGAATAGCCTGAACCTCACTTTCAGCTACCATAAGTTTAGGGGAAATGAACCTAAACTACCTCAACTGTATTTTCCGGGGTCACCACTGACTATAACTGTTGAAAGAGACTCGGTTTCCATTCAGTCCCCAAGTTATAACTCATCCCACACACTTAATATTGGCTTACAGTGAGCACAGAGCATTTCATTTCCACATGGATGTGTTCTGTATTCAATGAGTGGTTATTGCTAGAATCTCTACCCCCAAAAAGCCTTTGCAGATATTTTTGCATGCAGCTTAATAGGTACTCTGCTTAAGGAAACAAAACTTTTATAGAACTGAGTGCTCCTGGAGACACAAGAACTATTAATGGCTCTCATATCTGAAAATGAACTGATACATTAAAGACTAAAGGAGTAAAAGAAAAAGTTAGGAGTTTTTTTCACTCCTTTAACATATCTAAGCAGTTTTTGCCATTTCTTTTGCATTATTTATCAGAAAGAAATCATCTGGTTTTAATAAGTTTCTTAGTTTATCCTACACTATGATTTTTCTGATAAGTGGGCAAAAAAGAGTGGGGGTGACAGTAACCATAAATAATGCATATGATACATACATCATTTTTTCTCAAATAGCCAATCTCTCCTAAAAAGCCATGTATTGGTTTGAAGGAAAATTTAATCCACACAAATGACTGTATTTTAAAGAACTACTCTATGCACATAATTGGGAAAGTATAATATTGGATTTCTTCAAAAAGACTGAACACAAGTAAGACCTGATTTCATGCAATCATGTCATTGAGAGGGGCTACAAGAATAAACTGGGAGGAAGAAGTAAGACCGCACACACAAACCGGGGAGCTTAGCAGTTAGTAGGTAAAGTGGTGCCCAGACAATAAAATGTTCAAATTGCTAGCTTCAATAAAGACAATTTGATTGCTTTCTGACTACCAGTATTGTCTGACAAGCTCATTGTTTCAGTACTAAAGCTCCAGCAACTTTTCAACCCCACTGAGACCTCTAGTCTATGGGTCTCATCACGTTTTCATTGTCGCTTTCCACTCCTAAGTTCTCTCTTCTCATCTTTCCTGGCATAAGTTCCAAGAAAACCATAATCAGTCCTTGGTATTCAACTCTCTTGCCTCCTCCTACTCCGTGGGCAGAGCTGCAGCCTCTCCCTCTGTAGTCTCTGGGGATGTGATTACAGAGGCAGCTCAGCTGGTGCCTCTTGTCTTAAAACTCCCTGCAATCAAGGTGTTACAAGGGCTGGGAGCTTATCTGTAAGCTCAGCTACAGATGGGCTCAGGGAGGCCCTGCCTGCAAACTCACCCACCTGGCTGGTAGCAGAACTCAGTTCTTAATGGGCTTTTGAACTAGGGGCTTTAGTTCCTCATTGATGAGGGCCTCCCCAGTTCCCTGCCACAGAGGGCTTTCACTGAAACTCTCACAACATGGTACCAGCTTCCATCAGAACAATGCAGGATGTCCAACAAGAGAAGAAGGGAGACACAGTCTCTTTGCAACCTAATCTTGGGAATAAAATCCTGTCACTTTTGCCATATGCTATTTTTGTTAGTCAAACCCACACTCAATCCAGGTGTGGTGGTATGATCCCAGCACTCTGGAGGCTGAGGCAGGAGAATCATCACAAATTCAAGGTCAGCCTGGATTACGTAGTCAATTCAAGGCCAGACTGAACTACATAGCAAGACCTTGTCTCAAAAACCACACTCAAAGGAAGAGGATTACACAAGACCAGGAAATGTGGGCTACTGGGGACCATCTGCAGCTGCATATCATAGTAACCTCAGTAAGGTGACCCCCTATTTAAAATTGCAACATTCCAGCTACAACAGAGCATGCCTGTAAACCCAGCTATTTGTGAGGCTGAGGCAGGAGAATCACAAGTTCAAGGACAGCCTTGAGCTTTACTTTTTGAAACCCTGTTGCAGAAAGAACTGCATTATATTTTCCTTACAAAGAGTACATGCAGTTTATATTGACATGTGTACAAAGCAATCATCCGTTTGTATATTCAGATTGCCAAAAACCTGGTAACCATTCTGAGAAGTAGGAAATGGAATGAAATCAGTCAAAAGAAATGTTTAGGACTCCATAAACCATCCAAATCCTTTACCGGGTTTTATAAGAAAAATGCAGCATTCATGGGAAACTGAGATAAAAGTATTTACTCTTCCAAATATTAATACTAAAACCTGTTTGGTATGACATAAAAATAGAAGGGAGACTATTATTAGACAAAAGGAAGGGAATAAAGGGGAGAGGAGGAGGGTATTGAAAAGGGTAATGGGGAGGAGAGACAAGATCAAAATATGTCCTTGTGGGCCGGGGATTTAGCTCAGTGGTTCCACCACCTGCCTCGCAGACGCAAGGTCCTGAGTTCGAATCCAGGTACCAAAAAATATATATATCCTTGAGGCCTAACATTCTGTAATTAATAGGCACTCATAGTAAAAGGGGAAAAAAACCTGTTTGGGTTAGAGGACAGTGATTAGTCTTTAACTCAAAGACTATGTCTTTAATATTTGTTCCTCCCATAAATTTACAAAAAAAATAATCAGCACTTTCAGATTTCTTGCTTCCTGACCTGTAGACCTATCACCCTGTGATCGGCTATTAACTCAGTCGGATTATGACTTTTTTGACATTTAGATTGTGTAAATTTTTTGAGGTTTAAAAAAACAAAGCCCATGACAGAGGAACCGTGTAATCAAGTAATGGGAAGGAATTTAACTTGTTCATCTATAATGTTATCCCTCCTTTGAATCTCCCCTAATGAAATACAAGTAAATTATTAGTGCAAAATGTGGCCCATAGCCAAGGATTATAAAGGATCAGTTTATCAGGATTAATCAGTATTTGATCTCTTCCTCCCACTTAATTGTTGCGGTCAAATTATAATTTCTTTCTTTTCCATCGACATTGCCTATAAGGTCAACGGCCATACTACCCTGACACACCCGATCTCATCTGAAATTGCCTATGGGGTCTCTTTTCATGATTTTACTTTTCAAAACATGGAAACAAACTTTAGATTTCAGGATAATCAGGGGTGTGGGGAGAAAGGACCCCTTCTCCATTGTTGGTGGGAGTGCAGAATGGTGCAACCACTGTGGAAATCAGTATGGAGATACCTCAAAGAGCTAGGACTGGAAGTCCCATGTGACCCAGCTATTCCCCTGCTAGGTATCTTCCCAAAAGAATTAAAAGAATCATACCACAGTGATATATGGTCACCCATGTTTATAGCAGCACAGTTTGTAATAGCTAAAGGTTGGAAACAGCCCAAGTACCCATCAACTGGAGACTGGATAAAGATGTGGGGTGGGTTTTTTTAATAAAATGGAGTACTACTCAGCCATAAAGAATGAGAAACTAGAGACATTTATAGCTAAATGGATGCATATTGAGGCCATACTCTTAAGTGAAATAAATAGGACACACATGTGTAAATACCAAATAGTTTCTCTAGTGTGAGAAACTGAAAGTGTAAATAAGGTTTAAGATGATTAAAATGAATAATTGATAATTTGAAATAGGAAGAAAAGGTCCAAAGGGGTAGGGGTGGTAGGAGGGGAAGGGGAAAGGAAAGAAGGGAAAGGAAAAATTATGAGAAAAGAAAAAAATGGAAACGAAGTCTATGTAAATAGGGAAGGGTGGAAGGGGTGAAAGGAGCACAGGTAATGGGGAAAAAACAAGAACCAAAATACATCATGTACAGGTACAAGCACCCAATGATAAATGTAAATGTATTGTATACCTAAAATGTACCAATAAAAGAATTTAAGAAAAAATAAAAAGAATATGGCCTCAATGTGCATCTATTTAATTATAAATGTCTCTAGTTTCTCATTCTTTATGGCTGAGTAGTACTCCATTTTAGCTCTAGGGATGGTTCAACATATGCAAATCAATAAATGTAATATATTATATTAATACAGCCAAAGACAAAAACCATATGATCATCTCAATAGATGCAGAAAAAGCGTTCAACAAAATCCAACACACATTCATGATAAAAACCCTACAGAAAATTGGAATAGATGGTCTCTATCTCAATCTGATAGAAGCCATCTATGAAAAACCAACAGCCAATATCACACTAAATGGTCAAAAACTGAAATTCTTCACACCAAAATCAGGAACAAGACAAGGATCTCCACTATCACCACTCCTGTTCAATATAGTTTTGGAAACATTAGCCACAGCAATTAGACAAGAGAAAGAAATAAAAGGAATAAAGATAGGAAAAAAAGAAGTTAAATTGTCATTATTTGCAGATGACATTTTTGTTAGGTTCTTTCCGTGAAGCCAAGCTTCAAAGCTTCCAGATTGAGAAGGAAAAGAAAAAAGCAACATCCCTGATTTTTCTAAAATTTACTGTACTATAAATTTACCTAAATCTATGTGAGCCTGTGATTTATAATCTCAGTAATATCTTTGATGATCTTATATCCTCTAACTTTACTGCACACCTCTTTCTGTCCTAAAATTCCCAAGCATGTTGTACAAGACCGTTTTATTCTATCCACATTTATAATGTAACGTGCTTCAACAGGTTTCCCTTCTTAGAAGA